TTAAAAAAAAAAAGAAAGAAAGAAAAGAAAGAAAGAATGTAATACGAGAAGAGAGGACAAAAAAGAGCTAAAAGAGAAATTTTTTAAAAAAAAAAAAAAGAAAAGAAAGAAAAAAAAGAAAGAAAGAAAGAAGATTAAAAAAAAAATAATGTAATACAAGAAGAGGACAAAAGGAGCTAAATGGTGATCAGTTAAAACGAAAGAAATTAAGAAAGAAAGAAAGAAAGAAAGAAAGAAAGACAGAAAGAAAATTGAAAGAGAACAGAAAAAAAGGGAAAAATAGTGGCCAGTTTGATCGAAAGGAAGAAAGACATAACAAACGAAAGAAAGCGAGGAAGAACGAAAAAAAGGAAATAGAAAAAGTAATACATGAGAAAAGAGAAAAAAGAGAAATTGGAGATCTGCTTAAACGAAAGAAAGAAAGGATGAAATAAATAAATAAATAAATAAATAAAGTAAATAGAAATTAATACGTCAAACAGAAAACAAACAGAAAAACAATGGAGATCAGTTTAAAAGATAAAAAGAAAGAATGAACGAATGGCAACAAAAATAAAGTAATAAATGGCAGAACAAAGAAAAAGAGAAAAATGGAGATCAGGTTAAACGAATAAAAGGAAGAAGTAAGATAAGAGAAAGAATATAATATATCAAAGCATACAAAAAAAAAAAACAGAGAAAAATGTTAGTTCGTTTAAAATAAATAAATCAATAAATCTAAAAGGAACAAAGAAAAAAGAACAAAAGTAAAAAAAAAAAAGAAAAAAAAGAAAGAAAAAAGACGATTCACAGCTTAAGAAAGCAAGCAAGAAAGAAGGCAAAATCGATAGAAATCAAGGAAAAAAGAAAGAATGCCAAAGATAGGAGAAAGAAATAAGCAAATGTTATATGGAAAAATAGTAAAGAAAAAAAAAATGAAGTGTAAAAAATCTTAGTCAAAAGTGAAGCTTGGATGTTTAGAGAGTAAAAATAGGAAAGCTATGAACGATTAAATAAAAATGGAACGACAGAGAAGCAAATGGTATAACAGAGAAGATAAGGTTAACAGAAATAAATGAGAAAAAAATATTCAAAATGCAAAAGCAAGGAAGGGAGATAACCTCTAAAAATCAAAGTGGATAAAATTGAATAACGTTCAGCGCTGTTAAAGAACGACGTCAAAATGAATGGTTGGCTGGGAAGCCGGAGAAACGCGTTCGTAAGGTGAAGACCCAGCAATGCATTAGCGGTGAACAAGTGACAGGTTGTCGGTTTTGGGCATGCGTCGTTTGCCAACAGTTTATAAACATGTTTGGACCGCTATTTTATTCGGTGAGATGCCCCAGAAGAATGCCTGCCGCACGCCTGTACGGACATGCAGCTATTTTTGTTAAAATTTATCTTGCACTCAACGTATAAATATATGCTTTTTTTTCATGCTATAAGTATATGTTAGTATTTGTAATAAAGCAGAAACTAATATATATATATATATATATATATATATATATATATATATATTCAAAAAATATAATTGCTGTATACGGAATGAATTCCAATAACCAACAATTACTATTCTTTTTATGCTTAATACAGAATAGAGCAGCTATAATAATTTTTTTTAAAAACGTTGTTTTTAAAAATATTACAATGACCAATCAAAATACAAGTATAGGAAAATTCAAAAAGCTTGACAACGAAGTCATGTTATAATAGCTATTCAGATCATTAAAATAGGGGTAATATAAAAAAAGAATTTATTCTAACCAATAATTATTAAATCATATGATAAAATTTGATATCAAAATTAAAAGTAAAAATTACCAATATTAGAATCCAAATTTAATCACTATTACGTTTAAAATTATAAAATTATTGATAAGAAAAAGAAGAAATACGTTGTTATTCAATTTATTTATTCATTCAAATTACGTTAGAATATATATATTGATATATCATCCGGTCCTCTGACAACATGTATATATTTAATTCAAGTTAAAAATGAATGGGGTTATAAACCTCACACTTTAAAAAAACAACAGAGTAAATCCACTCAGATTATAATAAATAAGCATCCAGACAAATTTAAATATATATATATACACAAAATTGAAAAGAAAGGTGATTAAATAAAAATTTTAAAATTGTAATATTTTTTTAATTTTAATATCAAATTTTATCATATGATTTAAATATTATTGGTTAGAATAAATTATTTTTTATATAACCCCTATTTTTTTAATCTGAATTATTATTAAAAAAATGACTTCGTTGTCAAGCTTTTGAATTTTCCTATACTTGCATTTTTGATTGGTCATTCTAGCTTTTTAACATTTATTTTTAATATATGCGAAGGATCGTTAATTAATTTGAAACTTTTAAATTATATTTATTTTACATTCAACATCATCACTTGATAAGACAAAATCTGTGTTGATATAAAAAAATTATTTTTTGTAAATATTGATTTTATAACATATTTATGATGAAAATTAATTTAAATAAATTTATAAATATATATATATATATATATATATATATATATATATATATATATATATATATATATATATATATATATATATATATATACATAAATATATAATATATTAAAAATATTTTTTTAAATTTAACGTGCATTCTATTATTACAGTGTTTAAACAAAATTTGATGCCAAATCGGTTTGATTTTTCGATCAAAAAAGCTTGAAGCAAAAATTTTTAATAGCCACGCTGATGAGATGTGATATTTTGAATTTTTTATATATATATATATATATATATATATATATATATATATATATATATATATATATATATATATATATATAAATATTTAATTTAAAACGACAGATAATTTTATTTTTGGTTAAGATTTTTATTTAATTTTTTTCTATTGTGTTCGAAGAAGGTTTTTTTTTCTGGACAAAGTAAATTTAACAACTGCCCAAATGTGTTATATTTCCCAATTTAAAAGGAAAATATTTTATATTTTTAGCCATTATCAAAAGGATGATTCAGTTTTTCAAGCTTAATTTCATTTTATTGCATTATGTGTATGTCTTATTATATATATATAGATATGTTTTTAATTAAATTTCTAACATAAGATAGCCTTGTTATATTTAGTTATATTCCTAAAGTTGGTTTTTTTTTTTTATTATTAAAGCTTCAGTATTTTTAAATCTTTTAATGATCAAAATTTCATATTTATTATATATATATATATATATATATATATATATATATATATATGTGCGTTTTTGTGTGTGTGTGTATTTTGTGTTTAATGGTAAATTTAGGCAAATTTTTCTTTTTATGTCTTACTGAATAAATTACAAACATTAAAAAAATTATTTTCATTAATCCTTCAATATTTCACGAATATTTTTTTCGCATGTTATAATTTAATAAAAGTGATGAAAAGTCCCATTAAAATTTGTTACAATGATTTTTTATATTTTATTTATTATAATATATGGTAAATATTTTGTATATATATGATTTTTTATACATAATATATAAATACAACAAAATTTTATATAAATAATAATATAAACAATTTATATATCAATATATATATATATATATATATATATATATATATATATATATATATATATATTATTTATTTAAAAATATGATTCCAACACGCTACATAAGAGGTCTCATGTTTCAAAACAAGAGCCGAAAAACTTCAATATAATTATTTGAATTAAATTGAATTAAAGTAAGCTCTGTTCCATCTTTCAAGCGAAATTTTTGGGAATAACTTATTTCTGAAATTTACGTGTTTTAATAGCATATTCATAATTGAAATCAAAATTTCCATGGTAACAGCTAGGGCAATTGTTTAAATGCGGAGGGATATTTGGGTGTTAATAATTTGTATCAGTATAGAGTTACATTCATAGATGTCAAGTCAGGGTAAAAAGGTTGGGGTGTCTAAATTTAAAACGGAAGATGTATTCACCCTAGTCTGGTTTACGTGTCTATGGAGATTTTTTTTTTTTTTTATTTATTTTTTATGAAAAATTTTTGTGTATATAAAAAAAAAAAAAACTGCCGTAACATAAAATTTTTTTGACGACTTCATAAAGGGTTTATTTTTTTGTAGGGTATTTAAACTATTTATTAGGGCTATGGATTTTATAAAATTATTTTATTGTATGTTTGTTTTTAAGCTAATTATTCAATGCAAAAATTTGATGATGTCGTTAAAAAAACCGTTAACTCATGTCTATTATTTTAATAGATTTTTATTATTTAGAAACTTAATAATGTGCAGTTTTTCATGGAGGCATAAAGGGCATGGGTCATCCCAAGTTTTACAAGTTCTAGTTTTGTTTATAATTTTCCATTTTACTTTAGGTGTCCTATTTATTTCCTTCAAATGCCAAAAATATTTAGATATAGAAGTCTGATTTCTTTTATTTATATTGTGAAAGGGTAATTTTATATGCTGCCTCCATCTGATCTTTAAATTAATTAAAAAAATATATATATATGAAAAAAAATAGATGAAAAAACAAACAAAAATCCTAATATGCAATTTTTTTTTTTTTTTTTATATATTTTTCATATTAAAATAATCCTTATTTTCCTTACATATATATATATATATATATATATATATATACATATATATATATATATATATATTTAATATATTTATTCAATCATATATATATATATATATATATATATATATATATATATATATATATATAAGAATAAAAACAAAAGGGAAACTTATCTTAGTCATTTCGTCATCTGATGGAATTTATCAATACAAATATAATGATTTTATTTTTATATTTTTGTGTTTATTCATATTGTGTTTTTACAATTATATACCTATGTATATATGATTTTTTACACATATTCATATATCTGTGAAAAAATCTTTGGGTTCTTGCTTTAATAGCTATTTTTTATCTGCATGTTGTCTCTTTGAAAATGAAATCGTTATCTACTGCCTTCTTAAATCGTGTTCTTTTCTTGTTATTTTAGTTTAAAAAAATTGCCTTAGAGAATTTATTATTATTATTTGTGTGAAATGATAAACACACATTAACACACATACACACACATATATATATATATATATATATATATATATATATATATATATATATATAAATATATATATTATATAAGACCTTATAGATTATAATTTTAAAAAAGGATCATAACATTCATTTTTGATGAGTAGGTTAATGTATGTTCGAAATTTTATTAATGAAGTGATTTTTGCCATTTTATATCATTAACTTTACTATATTTTTTTTTTGTATGAATTATTCATTACAATATTTTTGTATATTAAAAAACATTTTACATATATATATATATATATATATATATATATATATAAAAATGGACGAGGTCCGACAATTTATTTATTAAAGACATTTTTATTTATGTTTAACGTTGTTATTTTATAGATACAAGTATTTAAGCAAATGCTCTGTTTAAGATAAACAGTATTAAATAACATTTACCGGCCTGAATGTCCGAGAAATTTTCATAGAAAATATTCGTTCATAGACAGGATTCGAACCTGCATCCTATACGGAACCGTCATATACGCTGACGTGCCTTAACCACTCGGCCACCATGAACCTTATGGTAGACAAGGTCGAATTTACTGTTATAAACTACAATCTTCCATGAATCTCGTACATTCATAACTGCTCTGGCGTATCGAATGTAAACAAATGACGTCATATATTATGTTAAGAAATGGACAATTTATTTATAAATTTTATTTATTAAACAAAGGACATTTTTAACGTTGTTATTTTTAACGTT